CCTCAAATCCAGGCTTGTCTTTAGTCGGCCCGCAATGACTCGATGAAGAAGTGGGAATCTTTCTGAAACCGCACTCTCTGGCTGAATGAGAAGGGGAATAATCTTGTCGAACCGGCGGGTATCACCAGGCATGCTCTGAAGGTCTATGCCCACATCGTCCGTAGGACCAGCACCATCCGAGTCAGTCGTGTCGCTGTAGGCTGTAGCATTTGGGGCAACAGTCGGATTCGTCGCATTGTTGGTATTTGTTGCATTATTCGCATTTGTGCCGCTCGTCTCATTTGTTCTGTCCGTCCCAGAGTCATCAGGATTGAAGACTGGACTGTTATTGACGTATGAACGTGCGTCTTTCCGTGGGGTGTAGCTACCGAACCTGGGCCCTGAGCTATTTGCAGCAGCTTCTTTTGGGGTGTTGTTTGAATCTGACATCCTAGCATATGCAATCGTTTAAAAGGTTGTATAAATAAAAGATTCAATCCTGGAGTGATGTTTTCCGGAATCTTCCCACAGGCATACGCGGGAAATGCGTATGCTATATACCCTGGAAAAGGCATCTCTACCTCACATAGATTGATTCCGGTTCTTCTATGCTGCAGTCCAAAAATAGAAGATTGAAGCAGGTATTATCATGGGCCGGAGGTTGATAAAGACATTGACCTGAATAACGAAATAAGCAATGTCAACAAAGGGTTTCGCGTTTGATATTTCTCTGAGTTCTAGACAAAGAGATTGCGGATACGGAGATGCCCTCTCATATGGAAGTCATTATCCACTTGAAAGTGCTCTTTGGACACTCCAGCCTTTTACCGGTTTCACGGAACATGGTGCTCTCTTGTTGCAGTCTCCGACTGATAAAGACCTTGACATTAGAAAGACAAGGAAACGTTTTAATTTAGATGTTGTATGACAAAGAGCATCATTCATGCTATTGTAATCGGACCTGTCATGGAGTTATTCTAAGTCAATCTTTGCTGACCTCCAAAGGTCACCCGGCTCCGTAACCCAGGCAGACAACATCAAATACCGGGAGCTTTATTCTTCGTCAAAGGGCGCTCAAGTGTTGGTGTTTTCAAGGAGGACAACTACAAAGTCGTGTTCGTTCCCATTCATTTTCTCAATCCAAAGCCCTACTAGTAGTGTCCCCGCCAGCATATATGTCGTGATAAGACCACACATAAGACGTCGAGTTATTGCTGATTTGAGGCCAACATTGCTGCGTCACTTGAATTACAGCCCAGTCCAAGTCTTTCTAAGCTATATAAATCAAACAACTGACGGGATGATGAGGCTGGCCTCCGCCTGTCAGGGCAAAAAATGGGTAAATTTTGCACACGAGGGCAACATAACCAGAGTCTAGAGGCCATCCACCCCTGTCCAATAATAACTCAATGACTGCTGATTATGAGCGATATTTTCAATCAGGATGGGGCCGAAAAAACTTCTTTCAAGCCACGGCAATCCTGGATGACTTGTCCTGCAGGTATTCAGTCTTCAAGCAATTCAACAACACTGCAGAAACAAAGGAGCATATCCACTTGACATGTGGCCTGTGGGACTTAACATGGTTATCACTGGTTACTACTGCAAGTCAAAAGGCAAGGATACAGTAAGTAGACTACCTAGTTAGCTTAAAATATGATACTATGCACTGTGGATGGCTGATGAGCATGACTGCACAGAGGCGCGATGGTGCCTGCTTTGAGCGTCTCTTGGCTGCAGGATCGAGCGGCACGGAGTGCTCAATCCTCCCTACTTGCACGTTCCCATCCACCAGTCACAGAACGAAGGCACCGTCATCAAAAACAAAAAATACAACACTGGGGGGAGGTGACGCTGTTAAGGCAGACTAGGCTGCAATTCCAGTCTTTGGTTGAAGAGCAGAGCCTCGCGGAAAAAAGCAACTCATCATTTTGGAGACCGGCGGTGATACAGCTCCACGGTAGTACAGGACATCCACAGTTGCAGGAATCATCTACATCCCCATCAAAGTATTCCGGACAGTCAAATTGATGTTTTTGCTTACTCTCTGATCTAGACCAACATTGACGAATGCCCTCGATTCGACCCTGACTTCACGCTTGCTATGTCTCCTGCACAGCCACTGCTTTGCGGCTGAGGCCTCCATGACCAGGAGGAACAGCCTCAGCAACCAGGTCAGACCTTCGCAATAGACTTGCCCGGGCACGTCCTGCGCCCCATTGCACTCGTGTTTCTGTTCCTGAGATGCAGCTGGCCATTATTTTGTTATCATTGACGAATCATCCACCTGACTAGGGGGACTTGCCCATGACTTTCATCCCCTCCAGGGTCGAAAATTTTTTCTGTCGCGTGTGAAGAGGGTGCAGAGAAAAAAGCAGGCAGAAGCGCATGGATACTTCACACTGAAACCTGAGTGGTCGCTCAGCAGCCGCCTTTCTGCATTGAAAAGGCCGAAAGAGCCCCTCCAGGTCCTGCTTTCTGCCTGGAGCTTAAAGATGTCTCTGTGTCCTTTCCATTAGTCTTGATGTTCATGGCCTCATCGTCATCTATATATGCCATTAACTGCCCTTGACTCTGATATTCCTTGCTTTGACTCGTATATGTTGTATTAGCCTGGAGACTCTTCCCTTACCTCCTCTGACTGTGTTCTCGTGTTGGTGCTGGTACACAAAGCAGTCTTCTGCAAACCATGGCGTTCGTCAATCAAAATATGGTTCCGCCTGTCCCTCCTCTCCATCATCCGCCAGCTGGTCTGCATGAGGATCCTCGCATCACTCAGCACCGTGTTCCTGGTCAGATAGATCCTGGATATCTGGCGGACCAAATGGCTCAGCTTCATGTGGACTCCCAAAGGTCTGCCCAAGACAGCTACCAGCAAACAGGCCGCTCCGAACCCTTCAGAGAGCACACGCGTTCTCCATACTATTACTTTGGGTACACCTTCTTCAAGGCCGAGGCAGCACCCGGCCAAAAGTCCACTTGGAATCAAGTCCAGAGAACAAGGATGAACTTGAGCCAGGCAGACCTGTTTCAGTTGGTGCAGAAGCGAGCAAAGAAGGCTACTGCTGTTGAGCAATATCAAGCACTATCAAAACTGAAACGAACCCATGTAGATCAATTAATCAATGAGCACAGACGCAGTGACCCTCGATTTGAATGGACCTGCGCTTACATCAAGGAAGACTCAAAGCCGGTGAAAGGCAAGGGTGCTCGTCGTGGTGATTTTGAGACGCTCTCGATGGACGTGGTGATTATGAGAAGGCCGGTGACGGTCGAACCAGCGGATGTCCAGACTCATTCCAAGCCCAGGGAGGAGCACCCTGTCGATCCTAACAACTTCGTGGCGGAAGATGTGCGAAGACCTAGGGTTGTCGAGATAAATGGCCAATGGAGTGAGCCGGCTATCAACCATGCACAAATGCCAGCGAACATGAATCAAGTACAGCAACATCCTCAGCATGCGTACCAGCAACCACATTTCCCTCCTCAGGCTCACGCTGATACGGCGAGGCAGCAGCACCATCAACAGACGCAATGGTCAGGTATGCACCAACGACCAGAGATACATCAACACGAGATATCTCATTCAGGCAACAACCCTCAATTTCAGCCACAAAATCCGGGTATACGTATCATCCCAGTCGCTCCTGATGCGCATCTTCAGAGCCATGATCGTGGTCTTGGCCCCAATCAAGTCAATCATCATGCAGACCAACCCTTCATGAGGCCAGAAGTTCATAATCAAACCAGAGTGAATAAGACATATATACCCCGGTCGTCAAGTCTGCACGTCGGGCCCGAGGCAGAGTGGCCTCCTGAGTCGAGCAGCATAGGAGATGATGAATCCGAGCTGTTTGACTTTGAAGACGAAAGCTCAGCTACCGAAGGCTCTGAGGACATTACGGACGAGGTGCCAAAAAGATCGAAATCATGGCGCGGGAGTCTTCATCGCCAAAACTCCGCGTCAAGGCAGAACCGCCCTGAGGTCGCTTACAGGACTCATTACCGCAAGAAGCCGACCAAGACTGCTTCAGACTCGAAGCTCAACCGCACAAAATATCCAGTCGGCTATGTCGAGGTGATCCCAGCAAATAGCAAGCAATCAAGCAAGCGAACTTCGAAGCCTCAACCGAAAGAGAATGCCGTCCAGCAACAGCCCCGGAGCCGGCCTAAGATTGTGCAAGCACCCGCGAACTCGACCGACGTGGACCTAGCATACCACGATGAAAAAATGCTTAAGGGCCGGGAAAGGAATGACATCAGAACGCGCATCCTGGATGATCGGGAAGCGAGAGTGGAACGGCGGGAGAAGCTGGTCGAGCATCAGGCTCGGATGTTGGACGAGAAACTCGAAGAAGCGCGTTATTTGGACCGACACCTGTCGCTTCGAGAACCAGGTCTCTTTCAGCGTCGATATTACCTGTGAATTGCTCTAGGCCTTTCTCTACGCTCCTTTAACTTTCTCCTTGTCCATCTTGATTTGATTTTCGTTCATTTTTTACCCTTTCTGTCTCCCATGCTGTAATGTACACTTTTGGGGTTTCGGTCAATCGGTCAACAGGGATACCACTGGGAAAACGGGCGTTACTAGTATCTTGTCTGTTAAAAATTAGGTACATGCATTTATACAGAACAATAGTTTTGAATAGCCTACACTCCGCAGATAAATCCCTGGACATCCTTTTCGTATTAGACGAGCCAATTGAAGAATCATCTCACATGTACACGCAGCAGGACAACTCATCAACTCTCCGGTGAGGTGAAGTGGACCAAAGTGACGCAGTACAACTGTTATCGATAAGCCCCTCTCTGTTTCTGCCAGTTCGGTAAGGCATGAAGCCCTTCAGCCCCGCTGTCTCCCGTTTTCTCTTCGTCTTCCGTCATAAACTCCATAAACGTCGGTTACTTCAGGCTAGTAGCTTCCTGCTTTTCTTCCCTCGTACACATCTTTCCGGACTGTTCAGATTCATCTCTTCCGCATATTCTCCAATTTCTTTCATTTCTCTATACACTCAGCCAAAATGCCTCGCCAATTCTTCGTCGGTGGTAACTTCAAGATGTATGAGTCCTAACCCAATGCCCCGCAGTCCCCCTCGCAGCTTCATCCCAGCCCGCAAATGAACAGTTACTAACATTCTCGGCGAAATGATAGGAACGGTGTCACTGACACCATCACCTCCATCATCAAAAACCTCAATGAGGCCAAGCTTGACCCCTCCGTCGAAGTCGTCATCTCCCCCTCTTCCCTCTACCTCCTCCATGCCCGCCAAACTGCCGACTCCAAGATTGGCGTTGCCGCCCAGAACGTCTTCGACAAGCCCAACGGTGCTTTCACCGGTGAAATCAGCGTTGAGCAGCTCAAGGATGCTAAGATTGACTGGGCTATTATCGGACACAGCGAGCGTCGTGTTATCCTTAAGGAGACTGACGAGGTACGTTATTCGCTGGAATCTGCTTTGCCGGACTGCGAATGGAATGGCTGACATATCTGATTAGTTCATTGCTCGCAAGACCAAGGCTGCTATTGATGGTGGCCTGAGCGTCATCCTTTGCATTGGAGAGACCCTGGAGGTAAGTTATTCTATTCGTCCGCTTCTATTCCCCACGTATCCACTAGACTAACACTACATAGGAGCGTGAAGCCGGCAAGACCATCGACGTCGTTAGAAGGCAGCTCAACGCTGTCGCCAAGGAGCTTTCCAAGGAGCAGTGGCAGAAGGTCGTCATTGCCTACGAGCCTGTCTGGTTAGTCGCTCACAAACACATTAATACAACTAAACGCTAACGACATACTGTAGGGCCATCGGCACCGGCAAGGTCGCTACCACCGAGCAGGCCCAGGAGGTCCACGCCGCCATCCGCAAGTGGCTCAGCGACGCTGTCTCCGCCGAGGCCACTGAGAACGTCCGCATTATCTACGGTGGCTCCGTCAGCGAGAAGAACTGCCGCGAACTGGCCAAGCAGCCCGATGTCGACGGTTTCCTGGTTGGCGGTGCCAGCTTGAAGCCTGCCTGTAAGGACTCCTTTCCGCCCAATTGAGCGTCGAAGTTATAGACTAACAATGTGGCCTCTAGTCGTCGAGATCATCAACGCCCGTCTGTAATCGACATACAATGGAATCTTCCTCACAAAGTCCTACTGCCGCTCTAGTACCGGCGGGGATACAGATCATGAATCACAATAGAGCTCTTTAAAGGCGCTCTGGGGAATTATATATGCTTGCTTACGTTCGCCCATTCAGCTGGTGGAGTTCAGGCTATATATCTCAACGATAAGTAAAAATTGAATGTAAATAAAGTGAAGTATGCGATACAGCTGGTTCTATTCTTTCACATTCGTAAAATCATGGATAAATTCCATCCTGATCCATATTCAGGACATGGTAGAAAGCGCTATATACAAAGGACGATGCAGATCATATACAGAGTATAGAATATTCGCTCTCACGACGAATATGAGACCGACACCCCAACACCATGCCAATACGACTTCCCAGAAACACCCCCACCACCAGACTGCCCCCCCCCCGCGGCAGTCGAACTCGCAGCCCACGAAGACGAAGAAAACGAACTGGGACCTAACCCCACACCCGCGCTAACCAGAAGCTCCTTCACGCGGCCCTCCCACAACAACCGCACATTCCAAGACTGATCGACGCGGATCTTCAGTACCGATTCATTTTCCTCGTCTACATTGTAAGTCGTTGGGGGATCCACGGGAGGAAAGGCAGTGGGATCAGCCATGCGCATCTTCCGCCTGGCCCATTCGAGGCCGTCGTCATCGATCGGCGGCTGCGAGGATTTCCTTCGTTTCCGCCATAGTTCACAGCCGGCGACCATTTCGCTCTCCCAACTGTAGACGTTGAAACCGAAGCGGGAGCTGAAGGCTAGGTTGGGCGAGGCGCGGAGGGAGTAGGTGGTTGATAGGGAGCCGGTGAGTGGAGTTAGGACGAGGGTGAGGGTGTATGGAAAGGTGGAGATCGGGGTGCCGTGGTTTGAGGTTGTGGTTGAGCTAGACGTGGATGATGACGATGACGGTATCTCGGTGGCTGCTGGTAGGGTGCTGAACCGTAACCCAGTTGACATTCCGATGAGCGAAGAGACAGGGGAGTAGTAAGCTTCGGCCCCAGCTGATAGTAGTGATAGCCGTGGGGAGGAGTTCTCCGTGGGATAGCGCGGGTCTGGACCGAAGTTCCACAGCCCCCGCCAGCCGAACAAAGAATTATCTGTGCTGAACAGGTATTCATTGCTATACTTGCCCGTGTCGTGGGAGAGTTGACCCAGGAGAGAAGCTTGCGGCGCAGAGTTTGATAGAGGAGGTCCCCGGGTCGAGCAGACTGCCAATGACAGCTGCATGGTTGGTGAGATCCGGCGCAAGAACAAGGCATTCAGAGTTGTCGGAGGAGGAAGGTGTAATGTTGCATTGAGCAGAGTCGCCTTACGCCCGAGTGAAGGTTGACTATCGCCATTGCCGGCGGGTTTGGACTCAGAGGATTCGAGTCCATCAAGAAGTGACTGCCACCCCCAATCTTCAACCGGGGCAACTGGAGGCTGAACTTGGCGATAACCGCGCGCTAGTTTACGCAGTGGAATAAGAGCGCTCCGGCTGGGAGTGTTGTTTAAAGGCACGGTGCTGTAGAGGTACGATACAGAGCCATCGATCAATCCAACTGTGCCGAGGGTATAACTGGTCGCGAAGTGGGGAGTGGCTAGGGACGAAAGATGGACGCGCAGACGCTCCGGCGTCGAGAAATCGAGTAATGCTGTATGCAGTCAAATCAAGATCATTATTATCTGATCTTATATATGAGGCAGAGTCACATACATTGCGCTGTGGCTGTCAGGGACGAGTATGAGTTGTCGCGGTTCCAGTTGGTCGCCTCGGCGAATGCCAATTGGATATAGTCCATGAAGTCAAGCATTGTCAAAGATGTCTCAATTCAGTTTCGTCAGCCCAGCCGTCGTTTATCATTATAAGCCCATCCCCAATGAATGAGAAATAAATCGGGCCCATAGATAATTAATGACGATGGTGACCTTGGAAACAACGGTTGAAGCCCCAACATCATCAGCTCATTTCCTTGTACGACCTAGCGTAATCGGATAAGCCCCGCATCAACGTTAATCCGCCTGTTATCAGTGAAGAAAAAAATAATCATATCTTTCTACTCCTCTTAAGTCAATTTTCCGAGTCTGTCTCTTTCCACATTTTCAAGGCATCCAGAGACACGAATCGATATAATTACTTTCTCGAATTTTGATTCTGTATTTTTCTCGCAATGCCTCGTTCAAAGCGTGCCAGGATCGTCCACGAGTCGAAGGTCACCAAGAAGTCGCACAAGGAACAGACCAGACGACTTTATGGCAATATCCGCGAATGTGTCGAGAATTATGATCACCTATTCGTTTTCTCCGTCGATAATATGCGCAACACCTATTTGAAGGATGTGCGCACCGAATTTGCCGATAGTCGGTGAGTCTTGTCGATTTCAAGATCAGCCCCGCGAGATATGCACTTTACATTGTGCAATATGGCAGCGAAAACATCCTCGTGCTTCAATCGCTGACATTTTAATTAGTCTCTTCTTCGGTAAAACTAAAGTCATGTCCGTTGCCCTCGGCCACAACCTCGAGACCGAGGCCGCACCAAACCTGCACAAGCTCTCTCCCTACCTGACAGGTGCTGTTGGTCTTCTCTTCACCTCGCGCGATCCCGAGTCCGTCCTCAGCTATTTCGACGCCTTCCGCCCCCTCGACTTTGCGCGTGCCGGAACAGTCAGCACCCGCTCATTCAGCATCCCCAATGGCCTGGTGTACTCCCGTGCTGGTGAGATTCCTGCGTCTGAGGACGAACCCATCAGCCACACGATAGAGCCGGAGCTGCGCAAACTGGGCGTTCCTACTCGTTTAGTTAAGGGCAAGGTCATGCTCGAGCTGACTGATGGGCAAGAGGGCTACCCTGTCTGCAAAGAGGGAGAGGTTCTGGACTCGCGGCAGACAACGTTGCTGAAGATGTTCGGTGTTGCTACTGCTGAATTCCATGTCGATCTAAAGGCACATTGGACTCGGAGTACTGGTGAAGTTAAGATCCTCGAGAAGGATGAGGGCATGGAGGTTGACGGACAGTAATTTCACTTCCAAAACCGTTCCTTTTCTTCATTTATCCCAAAAATTTCCTGGGCATTGATTGGAGTTGGGCATAGGCGTTCTTTCGTTGTTTTTCTTTTTATATTCTTCGAAGATCATGAATCCATCCTAGATGTTGCTCGATGGGCGTACGATGGACACAGAATACCACGCGGAAAAGCAATTATGCAGGACATCTTCCATTCAGAGTCAGAAAGCTACAAGGTGACAAGCATGACGTTATGTAGACAGTTTACCCGTTCTTACTTGCATACGAGGAATTCTGGCATCGACATGGCCGTTAAATATGCCTTACCTGCGTCTCTTACCTGAGCATCCCCGGATCCCAACCAAATTGCACCTAGGAAAATGACGGCTACCTAAAATACATACTTACCCCCTGTAGAGTAACAGAGACCCTAAACGGGTCGACACAAGAAAACGAGATGAAAAACATGCAAAACAGAAGCGAGACCACGAGATCGTAAGGAGGAAAAGGGGCCATCACGAATAGTGCTTCCAAACCTTGACCCTTCGTAAAGGAAACAGTAACAAGTGGAACCTTCAGTTCGTGAAGATGCCTGGTGACAAGCAGAAAAAGGTGACATCGGTTCGACTGTGCGAACTATTAATGCTTCCCTGGTCGTAAATGTCGATGTTGATTTTTGTTGAAGTGACCTTGCCTTACCCATTGCATCAAAGAGGACAAGGGATGAAAGGAAAGATCAGGCATAGATACCCACCAGCAAACCATGCTGACGCCTGGATGGGGAACTTAATCCAGCAAGGGACGTTCAGTACCTCCTTTTGGCGCGAGGATCCTCGTAGGAATCGTCTTCGTGATATCTCTTGCGGCCATGGTCTTCCCGACCACCATATCTGTCACGTTCGCGGTCGCGGTCACGGTCACGGTAGCGATCCCGATCACGGTCTCTGTGACGGTCACCTTCCCGATCACGATCGTGATCACGTCGGTCTCGCTCTGAGTAGCCCTCTCTGGGCCTGATAGGCTCGCGGTTGCTGCCAGTTACACCTGGGACCCGGGCATCTCTCTCATACTTTCCACCACCAGCATAGCCGCCTCCAAATCCAGCATTCCGGCCACCACCGGGACCGGAGGGAGCATTTGGTGGAGCCTGTCCACCGAAGCCGTTACGTCCGCCTTGATAACCAATACCGCCACGAGGGCCAAAGCGATCGCCGCCGCGATATCCTCCTCGAAATCCTCTACCTCCATATCCGCCACGGAATCCACCGCCAAACCCTCCAGGGCCAGAAGGCGGACCGAAAGATCCGGGGCCGGTGGGACGCGAGGGTAGAGCCTTAGTATAGCCGCGTCCTCCCAAGCCTCCGCCGAAGCGGCGAGGCTTCCAGCCTTTGACTGTTCGGCCACGTTCCACATCTACCAAGACACGTCGATCCTTGATTCGAATTCCATCTGTCTCTTTGTAGGCAGCTGAGCCGGGACAAGGATGATCAGGTCAGCAACGAGTCCAAACTTTTGGGGTCAAGAGAAGTCTCAGAGGTTTCACTATAATTGTGAGAAGCAGTAGTACCTTTCATGTCCTTTTCACGCTCATATACGATGAAAGCATAGCCCCTGTGTGGCTTCTTTGAGCCCTTCGGTGTGACTGTGTCTTTTACAATGCGGATCTAACAGAAGTTAGCATTGAACGACACTTCGAAGGCAAATAAACTCACTCTCTCAATTGGCCCAAATCTGCCGAACTCTCGTTCTAGATCGGACTCCTTCACATCGTAGCTCAGTCTAGCAACAAATAGAGTCCTGAAAGGATCACCCCGAGCTTGGGGATCATTGGAAGGTTCGTCTAGGAAGACGGTTAGCACTCATGAGCGAACGTTGAATCAATAATCAAGGCCCTTACAAATTTGAAGGCTTTCAGTCAACTGCTTATTCAGCCTCTCCTTTTTCTCCAGCTTCTGACGCCACTTGCGTTGCAGCCAGCTTTCTGTGGCATTGTAAGGAACTTCCTCTCCGTATTTCTTGAGGTCTCCAAGGAAATCTGCAACTCCGCCGATGGTACTCTTCTTGACATCTTCGGGTGCGCGATCAATGGGAGGAACGTAACGTAACGGTGGACGAGGCTGGAAGAGCGCCAGGAGGGGAGGAGGGAGTTTGTCCGTCATTTTGACCCCTCAATGATTTTGTTTCAAGCTAGGGACAACTTCTCAATGTGATTTGGAGTCATGGGGGAAACGATAGGTAGTAGTTTAGGTAGGATCTCTTGGACTCAGATTCTCGCGGCCAGGTTGTTGAGAGTTTCGCGTTCTCCATTACTTGCCTGGGATCCACGGGACTACAGAAGCGCCAGACGCGCTAAGCGGGATTGACGCCAACCAATGGGGAACCACCTTGCTTGCGATCTTGAAAAGTCGCCGAATTGTTCCTAGATGACTTGCTAGACACCGACAGCGATCATAGAATACATCACAAAATGCCAGTACAAGGCATCAGAACGGTAGCTAAGGCCAGGGTATGATGCAAGCACCTTATCAAACAACGATTGCCTCCTTTCAGTGACTGACGTGCTGCGATTACAGAACGGCGTGGGCGCCTTCATCCTACAATGCAAACGTTTGGATTTCCACTACTGCGACTGGGCTGGTAGTTCGAGAGGCATGGTGTAAGTCCAGTACTCCTTTTACTCTATCAATGAACCGAATTAAGTAGTTCTATCATGCAGCGCTTTCCTGAAACACTCTCTACCCTCCTTCGCCAAAGCAAACCCTCAGATCGAAATCCGAGTATCACCGCGGCCGCACAAACACCCGGTAATCAAAGGTCACTATATCAACGGACGAGAGAAAGCTGTCTGCGTTCGGAATATGGAACCTGAACAAATTCTGAACAAGGCGAATTTGCTCAAGGAAGCCAGCGGCGAGAAGCTCAAGCGCACCAAGAAACCCGTCACCAGTATCAACGAGAGTGTAAGAGGCATCTGGTCCCCGTACCACGGAGATCTCAAGATGGTATGAAGCAGTGTTGGGGATGTTTAGACTGGTGTTGAGGCTCCATCTTTCAGCCTTTTCTGTTTATAATGTATATCATGGGTTATTCTTGTTCTGGGCGTGTTTTTCCTTAACAACCCCAAGGCCTTTCTATTAGGGGTCATTGCACGGTATGTACAAAATAGATACCTTTCAATGTGAAATAACAGCGGGTTGCATGAACCGCTGCTATGGATCGTTATATACTACAACTCGGTCAGCACTTCTGAAGGATAATGACGCCGGTTAACAAGTCTTTGTCTGTCCCTTGACTATGATCTGCGCCAGCGTTTATAATCTTTTCCCCAGATCATGCTACATTGCGCCAGTTCGTAGTTTTGTCTACTTGCTAAATGCCTTCGCCACTGCTTATAAATTTATGCAATGGGCGGCGGTATGACATCTCTCCACCACAGACTCGGAACCAGCTAGTCATGGCCTCCACCAACAATAACGGGAGGCCCTACCGACTTCGTATGCTCCAGCGTCCCTTACCTTCCATGTTATCCCCATATCAGTCCATCTCTTTCCATTTAATGACATTGACCTCAGATCCTCGACATGAACGGTGATTCAGGCGTCCAGTTTGTGGCGGCGCGGCCAAGAAAGGTTTGTCCCATTGCATTCATGAACTTCACAGAGCGGGGCATTCCTTTACGATATCAACACAAACCCACCAGAACTTTTCGCAAGCATTTCTAATGACTATTCCTCATAGCGTCCTCATCATCATATGTCTGAATCATCACGAAGCCAGCATCAGCCTCGCTGGCGCTCAGAAGCTGAACCATCCTCGTCCCAAGGCCACAATTCTCCGCATAGCCGCCCACCGTTGCCACCGATGAGATATCCTGGAGATGGATATGATTTTCGTCGGCCGATAATGTCTAACTCTCCTCTAACAGAGGATATAATAGATTTGACGAACGAGCCAGATTCTCCGGAAGACCAGAGAAGACCGCAAAATGGCGACTCGCGAACAACACCACGACTACCACGATTTGGAAGAAACATAATGGCGGAAGTGGTCGATCTTGAAGAACCAGAAGATATAATTCGAGTAGATTCCCCAAGCAGTCCGGAAGTGCAGTTTGTCGGAGCTACCGTTCGCCAGCCAGAGTCAGTGCCGGCACCTCCACCTAGAAATCGGGGCTTCCTAGGGGCGAATCTCTGGGACTTAATACGATTGCAGCGTGAAATGGCACCGCGTCATCTCATGTCAAGAGAGGAAAGCTTCAGACAAGAAATCGCATGGAGAGCACGAGACCTTCAACGTCGTCCGCCCGATGAGGTGGATATGTTTTTGCTTGGTGCTGCGGAGGAAGCTATCGATCTTGAGGATGCCATGGATCTCGCGATAGTCGGGGATAGGTCATTGAGAGTTGAGTATCCTACTTCTGGGTTGACTTCGGATAGAGGCTCCCGTCAGAGCTCGTACAAAGCGCCAAGTCCTCCCTCCGAAGGATTTACGAGAAGCGCTGGGGAGGACGATCTGGTCGTGTGCCCAAACTGTGATGAGGAACTCGGAACAGGGGATGAGACAAAGCAACAGATATGGGTATCGAAACCTTGCGGACATGTTCGTGCCAACTTCCTACCATATGTTGGGACCTAGCTGACGTTTTCCAAGGTATATTGTGGCGAATGTGCCAGGAATCGTGCTGTTTCCAAGGCTAAGAAGTCTCCCCAGAGAACCAAACCATTCTCTAAATGTCAGGTCATTGATTGCGGTAAACCTGTCAGCGCACCTAAATCAATGTTCCAGATATACCTCTGACAGCCGGTATTCTGTGGCCATATGTTCAACGATGATCGGGTTCGCATGGCGAGGTGTCTTCGGCGGAGTTAAAGCGTTTTTTTTTTCGGTTTCCCTATTCTTGATACCCCCATTGCATGTGTACTGTGGGCGCGAGGGCATTCATGATTTCTCTTCCCTTGACGGCGCTTTTTTCTGGATAGTCGAGGCATGAGGCATGTCATTTAATTCATTCTACCTTGAAACAAATATGAATTTCCTTCCCTTGTATAGCGATCCTGATTTTAAACCTTTTAAGCCTAGCATGACTGAGGATAATGAAAAAAGGAGAAAATTGGAAACGCATTTGGCTAGAAGTACAAAAGTGGTTCCTTCTCTGTAAGGTATCATGACTCCTGTGCTGTCAAAACTGTGACTCCACCTTCGCTGTTCAATGCCACAATGCTCTGGGCAGCAGAGCCCCAAGCCACTGCTACTGCTGGCACGGCACTGCGTAAAGGCTCCGACCATTCTTTGGACGCCTTCGAGTATTGCTGAACAGTCACACCGCTGGGGCCACCAGTGAGAAGGAACTGCCCAGTGTAATCCCAGCAGATAGAATCTATCTGGCTGCCCGTCTCCAGAACCTTGATCTCCTTCGAGCTGCGAAGATCCCAGATTGACAGAACAGTCGAGTTATCTGCCACTGCAGCAAGGAATGTGCCATTCTCGGAGAAGTAAAGGCATTTGACGGGGCCAGACATGGCGTAGTTTGCGGCCGCCGCGCCAGACTTAACTTCGAAAATCTTGATCTGACCGTCTGCGCCACCAGCAGCGATGAGATGCCCATCAGGGTGGAATGCGACGGTATGAAGAGCTGAAGGAGAAAGGGAAAAAATTAGTCTAGGTCGCAAAATGAGGATACAGGCCTTCCTTACATGCGTCTGTGAAAATTTGAGTGATGACAGAGTTAGTTGTCAGGTCATACAACACATAGCTCTTATCAACGCCGACGGAGCCAATTATGTCGCCAGTAGCATGCATAGCAAGAGCAGTTGCTGAACCAGCATGGCAAGTAAATTTTGCCACTTCTTGGCCATTCTCAAAGACCTGGACGGCACCCGTAGACGACGCAATGACTGCCTTATCACCAGCCCATACAGCACTGGTAACCGGGCCGCTTGTCTGCAGATTTCCAACGACACGTTTCTCAGATAGGGAGTAGACACCGACGGTGCCATCAGCACCCCCTACGAGAGCCATGTCTCCGGCCGCGTTAACGGATAGAGCCTTGCCGCCTCCGCAGAGAGGCTCGGACGTCTCAGTGGGCTTGTACGTAGAAAGGGCATCGCTTGTAGCCCAGCCTTCCGGAACAGGTCGCTTGCGACGTGTCTTGGACAGCCTAGGTGAGATTAGCAATACAGCAGACCAACTGAAATAGCTATGTCACGTACGACGCCTGTGTGCTTTCAATTCTCGCAAGTACAGCATCGGGTAAGCCGGTTGAGTCGACCTGCATAGCTTCTTCACCTCCGGCGCGACCGGCGCTTACAGTCACCTTGGACAAAGCGTCGCGAGCTTCGTCTCTTTCCTTTGTTAACCTCGCAATGACCCGTACAGCTGCATCGTGTTGGTAGAGAGCTGCGCTCAGCTCCTGCCGCGTCTGGGCGAGAGTCTGACGCAACGTGTAAGTTTCGAGCGCCAGCGCATCCCATTCTTCTTGAAACACGCTGAGCAATGAGGGAATGGATGTGAGGGTAGGAGGTCGGGGTCGGACAACGCGCTGGCTTTTGACTTCGATGAGTTCGTCGACCGAGAGTTCCTCTCCATTTACTGGATCTTTTCCGTTCTCGGCAATATATGCCTCGATGAGACGCCTTTCGAAGACGCTGCCTACTCGCTATTAGACGAATGAAGCTTGGAACTCCTTGGATCCTTGACATACCACTCTTGGGCGAGACGACTGGCACTTGCAGTGCCTCTCCCGAAACTGTTCAATGATTAACTATACGCATTCGAGTAAGACAAAACGTTGAATAAATGTGACTCACTTGCGCACAGCATTGTTTTGTTTTTGAGTTGGTTGGTCTAGAGAGAGGTTGCTTGACGCGAGAGCTGCCGCCGCATTGGACTTTTCGACGAGACAAGGCTTCCGCCTATCTGGGTTAGCCGCACCGCAAAGCTGGCTGATCGTCCATTGCTTGGCATTCATGCAACACATGCACTGTACAGAATTCCAGGTCATTTCGCTCTAAAGCAATACTACTCCGTGTGCAAGTATCTCTGTATACTCTGACCATGGTATAACCATCCGTGCTCGGTTAAGCCACCTCTTTGTCGTCCTATTAGTTCCTCCTTATTGCCAGGATGCAATTTGACTGAGAACATCCGGCCCAGAAACTCCCGCGCTACTAACAGACGTTGAAAGAAACATTACAATTAGCTACTGTCGTCAAGCATCGCTAAACCGATCTCTGACTGTGCCTTTCTCTGATTCGGGACTAACGCGTCTTGTATTCAGGAGTCATGTCCTTCAACGCGAAAAATCTCGCCTATGGTATGCTATAAGTTCTCGCTCACACGGCACTTCATCTAACGCCAGGCAGAGAATAAACAGCCCGCCTTTCTACAGAAACTTAGAAACCAGTACGGTGATACATCTGGTCGCCTTGAAAGGCCCATTGCGCGACCTCGATTAGCGAAGAAAGATGACGTGGACGATGACGAGCCCACATACGTTGATGAAGAAAGTAACGAGGTGATATCAAAGGAAGAATATGAGGCACTATTACGAGGTGACGAGAAAGAACAGGAGTCATCCGAACAACAGTTTGGTCATAAGTCGAGACAGGACACTGAAAACCCCGACGTCGAGGGAGCGTCAAAGCAGAATTTGGCTGGAATAGGTGGCCCGAAGAAGAGGAAACAGGCGAAAGTCATTGCAGACGATAACGTTGAGGCCGATAATGACACGCAGCAAGAGAACACTGGATCTCAGAAAGCAAAGCAGAAACAAAAGAAGAAAAAGAAGATCAAGCTATCCTTCGATGAATGAGGCCAACATGCTATGCTTAGTTCTTGATAACGCCTGTTAGATAATGATATAATGGAGTATAGTACCTTTGCTACTGCAGTCAGGTAGATACATAGTTGTACATTGGTAAACCCAGTAGGCCTGTTCACCATTTGACCGGCAAGGTGAAAGCATGTCTCTCGCCTAGAACCTCTGTCAAGTAATTGTTACAGAGGTCCTCTTGGTGTGTTGTCATCGGTGATGTTGAAACCTCTCTCTGACTTCACATTATCCGAAGATTATTTTTTTTGCCCGTTTCCGCAACAGCGGAACGCCGACGAACCGACCCTAAAGTTCTTTTTACAAGGACTCTCTCTGGTGGTCAAACCTGGAAAAATTCGATAGACTCGATGGTCCTTTAAGATGCCTGTCGTTAATGTAGATGATCTAGTCCGTCTCCAACAGCGGTCTGAGGACATACGGAATGTGAGCTACCCCTCTATCCCACCTTGATGTCATATTTTCTGCTTGTTCAACGCTAACCATACCGCAGATTTGTATCCTTGCCCACGTTGTGAGTACTCTACAGCATTAATGACTGCTTGAGCGCTTCTAATTCTGATTGTGACGATGAATTAGGATCATGGGAAAACCTCCTTAACGGATGGTCTCATCGCCACAAATGGCATTATTTCCCCGAAGTTGGCGGGCAAGATCCGCTATCTGGACTCACGTCCAGATGAGCAGCTTCGAGGAATCACTATGGAGTCGTCGGCTATCTCCCTGTATTTCTCCATGATGCGTCGCTCGTCTCCTGACGCTACTCCTCAGCCCAAAGAGTACCTGATCAACCTGATTGACTCTCCTGGGCATATCGACTTCAGCAGCGAAGTATCGACAGCTTCAAGGCTCTGTGACGGTGCTCTAGTTCTTGTTGACGCCGTTGAGGGCGTCTGCAGCCAAACTGTCACGGTGCTACGTCAGACCTGGGTCGAGCAGCTCAAACCGATCTTGGTCATCAACAAGATCGACAGACTGGTGGGAGAGTTGAAAATGAGCCCCAGTGAAGCTTACTCTCATTTAAGCAGACTCTTAGAGCAAGTCAACGCTGTCATCGGAAGTTTCTACCAGGGTGAACGGATGGAGGAAGACCTCCAGTGGCGAGAGCGCATGGAAGACCGGATCAATGCCTCCGCTGCTCGAACCGCTCAGAAGCAGGAACAAGGCGATGAGACAAACATGAGCAGCATCGATGATGCGGAATTTGAGGAAAAGGATGATGAGGAAATCTACTTCGCCCCTGAGAAAAACAATGTCATTTTCTGTAGTGCCATCGATGGCTGGGCTTTCACTGTTCGACAATTTGCCGCTCTCTACGAGAGGAAACTAGGAATCAAACGATCGATTCTTGAGAAAGTGCTATGGGGAGACTTCTACCTTGACCCTAAGACGAAACGTGTCTTGGGGCCGAAGCATTTGAAAGGACGTGCCCTCAAGCCAATGTTTGTTCAACTGGTGTTAGACAGTATCTGGGCTGCATATGAAGCTACAACTGGTGGAGGGAAAGGCAAAGGGTATGTTGTATTAGCCAAGATTGGAGGATGTCATGATACTGATCTTATATTAGCGATCCAGCTTTGTTGGAGAAGATCACCAAGTCCTTGAACATCACCATTCCGCCTTATATTCTCCGCTCGCGTGATCCCAAAAACATCATGATGACCTTGTTTTCCATGTGGCTTCCGTTATCAACTGCTGTCTTGGTGTCTGTCATTGAATATCTTCCCAGCCCACCGGCTGCCCAAGCTACTCGACTACCAGGACTAATCGAAGGCTCCCCTGGTGCTGAATTTGTCGACAAGAAGGT